CCTCATAATCTTGAAGAATGGTAGGCACTTGTCTGTTGACTTCGATATGAACCGATGAAGAGCTGCTACCCTTCCAGTCAACCTCTGTATGTCCTTTACTGACTTTAGCGGTTCCATCTCGGCAATTGCTCTGATCTTCTCTGGGTTGACCTCGATCCCTCTCCGGGAAACCATAAAACCCAGGAATTTTTCGAATTCCACACCAAAGATGCATTTGGCTGGGTTTAACCTCATTCTATTTTGTCTAAGATTGTTGAATGTCTCCGCAAGATCGGTTAAGTGATCGTCAGCTTTTAAACTCTTCACCACTATATCATCAACATAAACTTCCAGATTCCGTCCTATTTGATCTCGGAATACGATGGTAACCATCTTCTGGTAAGTGGCGCCTACATTCTTCAAGCCGAAGGGCATCATTACATAGCAGTAGATCTCATCACCAGCATAGAATGAGGTTTTTTCTTCATCCTCAGGAGCCATTGGGACCTGGTGGTAGCCTGAGTATGCATCCAAGAGACTTAATCTCTCATTCCCCGAGGCTGCCTCAACCAGCTTATCGATGTTGGGCATTGGATAACAATCCTTTGGACATGCATCGTTGAGGTTGGTGTAATCAATGCACATTCGCCATTTACCGTTTGCTTTTTTCACTAGCACCGGATTGGCGACCCATTCACAATAATCTACCCTTCTGACAAAGCCGGCCTGTAGGAGTTTCTCGACTTCTTCTTTAATAACCTTTAACCTTTCCCCCCCAAAAAGGCGTCGCTTCTGGGCTACTGGTTTCTTGAGGGGATTGGTGCTGAGTTTATGTTGAAAAACTGAAGTGGGGATTCCCGGCATTTCGGCTGAAGTCCATGCAAACACATCGTTATTGGCCCGAAGAAAAGCTATTAACTCTGCTCTTTCTTCCGAGTTCAATTGAGTCCCAATTTGCGTTTTCCTGCTTGGATCTCTGTCATCAATCTGTACCTCCTCCACATCTTCAACCGGAGCAGCTCTGGTTTCATCTTCTGGTCGGTTATCTACTATTTCAACACCCATAACTTGCCGATCATCAGGTATCTGTTTGGGATTAATCTCGGGTGTCTGAGCCTTGTCCTTCTGAGGTTGGGTTACCGAGGTGATATAGCAATGCTTGGCCACCTCCTGGTTGCCTCGCAGTGTTGCTATGCCCGTAAGAGTTGGGAACTTCATGCATAGATGAGACTGGGAAACCACGGCTTGGATCTCAGTTAGTGTAGGTCGGCCAATGACAGCGTTGAAAAAGGACGCCATCTTGACCACTAAAAACCTCACTGTATAGGTCACATAACTTCGGCCACTCCCAAATGCAACATTCATGGTGAGGACTCCTTCAACTGGGACTGGTTGGTTGTTGAACCCGTAGATGGGACCATCATACCGCTGCAACAGAGCCGGATCTATCCCCAAACTCTCAAAACAATGGAAGTACATGATGTCTGGTGCACTCCCGGTGTCAACAAGGACTCGCTGCACTTCACAACTGTTGATCGTGACGGAAGTAACTAGGGGATCATTGTGAGGTGTGACAACGGTTTCAAGATCAGCAGATGTGAAAGTGATGGGTTGACTCTTCCACTCAGCATCGTCAAATTTCCGCTTCTGAGTCCGGTTCTGGTGCTTAACCTCTCTGACATACAACTTTCTCTGCTTAGAGCTCAGTCCTCCTACTTCCAGACCTCCCGTAATCATGTGTATGACTCTAGCTGGTGGTGGGAGTGGTGGTGGGGCCTGCTGATATCCCACACCTTGCCTGTTTGGGGGATTACGGACCCCTTGATGCTGTGTCCCTTGTTCCCTGACAAATCGTGGCTGTTCAACTCTCTGGATGTACTCATTCATCATTCCTTTCTGCGCCAGGCTTTCCAATTCAGACCTCAGACTATTGCATTGCTCTGTGGTATGACCGTGATCTTGATGAAAATCACAATACCGTGTATGGTCTCTGGTAGCAGCAGCAGTTCTCATTGGACCCGGACGTTGTAAGTCCATTTTATTCTTAATCTGCATGAAGATTTGTGACCTCGGTAAATTAAAAGGAGTCCAATTAACTGGAGGTTTACCTGCAGGTTGTTGCGGAGGTGCTGAGTTCGGCCTTCCGAATCTCGGGGTCGACATCGGACCCTGGTTCTGTGTTGTCTTCATCCGTTTCCTGTTCGGATTCTCATCTCTCCAGTCCGGGTGTTGGTTTTTAATAGGGGTGAGGTTCTGTGATAGGGCATATTCCTCAACAGTTATAAATTTCAATGATCTATCATTTACCTCACTGAAGGTGGCGGCGGGATGTTTGAGCAGACTTTCTCTGAACCTTTCATGGCCGAGACCCAAGATCACAGCTGTAATGCCCACTGCTTGGTCGAAAGAGTTGACCTCTAGCACTGCATCATTGAATCTGCTCATAAAATTCTTTAGAGATTCTCCATCCCTCTGCTTGACTTGCATCAGCTCAAAAGTGGTTTTCCTTATCAACCTTCTACTGGAAAACTTAGTGGCAAAAGCAGATGATAGTTTTGTGTACGAGTTGATTGATCTCGGAGGCAGACTGTAGTACCAGGTTCGAGCGTTACCTCGGAGAGTAGAGGGGAAGATTTTGCACATCAACGCATCAGAAGCGTTCTGGGCCTGCATGCAAGAGTAGAAAGCATGTAGATGATCATCAGGGTCCTTCGTCCCATCATAAGTTTCAAGCTGTGGTATTCTGAAGCCCGCTGGATAGGGTTCTAGTACAATATTGGTGTTGAGAGGGTGAGGGACGAAGTCGACAGCGGGATGTGGAGGTGGGGCACCTCGTTGTTCAACCACTAGCCTTTCTAAGCTATCTAGACGTCGAGTGACATCATCCTGAGGAGGTGGCTGAGCTGGTGCAATGTGAGATTGACCCTGAGATTCACTAACAACGGGAGCACGTTGAACTGGCTCAGGATTTTGCGGTGGGGCTTTGGGTTGTGGTGTGGCAGGATTAAGTAGATTGATGAGTGGATCACCAGGATTGCTCCGGGCTAACAACTGAGCCAGTACTTGCTGAAAGACACCAAACTACTGTTGCATGGCAGCGAGCTGAGTTGCAACTACGTCTTGGTTAGCAGTAGAGGCTGAGTGGCTAACCGAATTGTGTGGTTGATTTTCGTCTTCTCCTTCTGCATGATCAACAGGAGGGAATGTATTTGGAATTGGGGGTGGAGGATGAGGTGGAAGGTTGCTGGGGACCTGACCTCGTCCAAGAGGCTGAGACGAGTTTCCGCCTCGGACTGACCTAGTTTTTACCATAATAAGAGCAACAAAGGAACCTTTTGTTCAGTTTCCCACAGACGGCGCCAAAATGTAACTGCACCAAACCCAACGTCCTTCTTCACTTCAGATCTGCACTCTGGATTGACCTACAAAGCCCCGAGATGGATCTCGGGGTAGACACTCCGATGCTTAAGTCAGCAATAATCAGGGCTACCTGTAAAGCGAAGGAACAA